GCGCCCAAGCCACTCGTCAGTTTCCGGTTGATGTCTCTTCACCGGGAACCCTCGCTCGTACATTCCTCATATCCAACCTAAATCGTTCCGTTTTGCCTCGAAGAGAAGTTGCTATTGCGCGGCCCGAAGCAACGTCCATCGTGTCAACACACAACTCTCCTCAGCTAGATCGGCCCGGTTTCCACGACCGGCTCAAGCGAATCGGTCAACTCCTGGGCGGCGGAAGGGGACGAGATGGGGGGACGGGAGCGACGGGGAACGTGACTTGGCTGTATCGGTACTGTCGATCCCCATCCAGCTCGCGCGCGCGCTGAACCGCATGCTTGGGCTGTTCCTGTCGTTCGCTTTCGTTGAATCCCCATCCCCATCCCCATCCAATCCCGTTCTTGTTCCCCCATCTCGAACCCAACGTTCGTTCGCATTTTTTGACCGTCTAGTTCATCTTCATTCGTCTCTCCCACACCCAACTCATGCTCAAAAGACATGCTTATAGCTTGATAGCTTATAGCTTAGCAGCCTCAGCAAGGGTGCCAACCTTGAGCTTGGTGCCGTACTTCTCCAGCACGCTCTTGCCGTGGTACTTCCAGAAGGACTTGGTGGCGTCCTTGCCGGCCATGCGCTTGAGGATCTTGGCGCCGCCGGGGTGGTCGTCGAGGAAGTCTATTTATTTTCGATATCATGGTTAGTCTCGACATCTCTCTTTGTTCATATTTCTCTTGGTTGGATTGTTTGTTGGTCCGTGGTTATGTTGGGTCGCTATTAATGATTGCGCCGAGGGAGAGGGAGTGGGAAGTAAGGGAGGGAGTGAAGGGAGTAGTAGAGGGAGGAGACACAACAGAGAGTGAGGGGATGAGGGAAGAAAGAAGGAAGAAAACATACTGGTGATATCGTAAACACCGTCATCAATAATGATGTACATGGACTTATCGTCCTTGTGCTCGGCCACCTGGCTCTTGGTGAAGGTCTGAGACATCTTGGATAGTTTGGTTTGGTTTGGTTTGTGTAAGGGTAGATCCTTGGTGATTCGACTGTTGACACAACAACGAAGAGTGAAAGATGGGATGAGGAGTAGTCGCGTATATGTAAGCGCGGTAGACGACGGGTAGAAGTGTCAAAGAAGAAGTTGTGGAGAGAGAGAGTTGCGGGGGAAGTTGATGATTGTTAATTGACAGACGCCGAGTGGTGCCGAGTCGTCGCAAGTGTCGCGTGGACGTGGGGAAGCCGATTGTACCTCGGTTCGGCTCACATCGCCCGATGTCGCCGCTAAACTGAAATGGGATGCACGCGGCAGGGGTTCGGCTGGCACTTTCTGAGGTTTGAGGTTTTGTGTGATGGTTTCCCCGCAGACGTCATTCCGACTCCGCGATGAAGTTGAAGGTCTAGAATCGTCGACAGACCGGACCGGCATCGGCAGAGAAGGGACCGAGATATAGAAAGAGGCGTTTTAAGGGAAGGGTTTGATTAACAATATCTTCATAACTAATTCTATTTCCAGACTTCCGCCGTCTTCCCCTGACCAGGACCGAAACGCCATGCAAATGCTATACACATCCGGTACAAGCCAGATGTGAACACGAAAACAGAAGACAACCAGCCACCGATGTATACGGTCAGAACGTGATGCTTAAACCAGTGTCCAGAAAGCAGCCCACATCAAACCCAGAGTCAAAGGCACCTTCAACATGGCCTCGATTCTCTCAGCCGAGCTGGCCTCCTCGCCACAACACTTCCTGTTGTACGTCACATTGTTGACTCTCGCCGCCGCCTCGAACACGCTACCGGGAGGGTCTCCCATATTGTAGTAATCCACGTTGAGTACCTTGGGCGGCCGGCCCCAATCCGACCGACAGTTATTTGCCGCCAATCCCAGACTTCCAAAGCCCTCCGCGCTGTTCGTCACGTTGATCCGACTCAGGTCTGGCACGCTGAGGACGTTTCCGAGCAAGTTAGCCTCCCCGTTCAGGTTGTGATTCATCAGATAAATCCTGTTCTTGGCCTGGTCGGCCGGCAGGTCAGGCGGCCGCTGGACGGTACACGGGAAGTTTTGGTCGACCGGATCGAACGGGGTCTCCCACATCTGGCTGAACTCGTCCAGAAGCCACGGATAGGCTGTCTGGTTGGCCATGTAGTCCATGAACATGACGACGCGCTGACCAGTCAGGATCATGTGCGACAGGGTCGGCCAGTCGTCGAGTGCCATGGGAATAACAGGCGGGGTGAAGACATAGCGGAGAATGCCCGTCTTCTCGATATGGGGGACGTAGAAATCGGGGGTTGAGTAGTTGCCGTTGCCAAGCAAAATGGTTACGACATCATAGGGGTGGGCTACAACCCAGTCCTTGACGGTAGTGAGCCAGTCGGTGATGGGACCGGCATCGAAAAGATCGCAGGTGGTGTGACAGAAGTGCGGCACCGAATCGTTGGCAGTCCACTGAATCTGGGCTTGGAGGAAACGGACGCCATCATTGAGCTGATCGACGACGGGGAACTGTTGGTTCGCAGCAGCGGAATTCGCCCTGACGAAGGGGCTGTTGTGGCAACCGACCTCGGTAATGTTGCTGTACTTGCGGTCGCAGAATTCGGGATAGTTATTGCACGGCCGTGTGTTCGTAGGTACGGGCTTCGGAGATTCTGTGCTCGACGCAGTCGCGTTGGAGGTCGATGTCGAGTCCGATTTGGTGCCCGTCAGGTAGCTCAGCGTTACGCTGGAAGTCTCGGAAGCTGATTCTGAAGTGAGGGAGACATCGGTGCCGTTGTCTGAAACTGAAGCGATGATGGTCGATGCTGTATCCGTAGTCGTTCCAAGCGTGATACGCGTGGTATATGTTTGATATAGGTTTGTTGGTATCGATGAGGTCGTGTGTTCAGCCTTTGTGCCCGTCAACATGGTCACCTCTTGGCCGTTGATTGTTGTTATGGACTGGCCATGGGCTAGGCTAGTGCCCAAGGAAAGCACTCCGAGCAGGCAGCCCAGACGCCTTGTAAGGGAAGTCATGGTGAATAGTGTGTCCACCCAAGCAAGCTGGTCTGAAGAGCTCTAGGGCAAATATCCAAATAATACAAGTTGTACCAGGAATCCCGTCCTAGGAGAGCATCAAATGCCGGACAGGGAGACGGAGAGATGGGTTATGGTTTGGTTGGGGTTAACGAGAGGATAAAAACAGATGACGACTAGAATCAAACAACAAGCTCATCACCTCCAACCTTGAAGCTTGGTTTGATCATTGGTCGGATACGTCTGCCAACTGAATTAACTGGGAGCCAAGTGAAAGTGTCAGAGCGCGTCTGGATGCTTTCGCAGTGGAGGGCGCTTCAAGTTCCGACCCCCTACGACCCCCGTCTGGAAGGAAAAGGCAAGCTTGGCACGGTCCACACGTGGAGCCGCTGAAGCCGGAGCCGAGTGAGCTAAGAAGCACTGCCGCATCACTCCATCAGCGCCCTGGAGCCGACTGGCGGGGCTTGTTCTCAGCAGCTACGACCCTGGCATCAGAGGCTTGGTCATCGTCAGGGTTCTTTGTCAGACTCGAAATCAAGACCTTGGCTCGAGCTTGGATCGAGCTTGGGTTGAGGAAATCGCCAATTGGAAACTCACGATGTCGACCATGGTGTTTTGAAAGATGTCATCTGAACTCGATGCAGTCTTGACAGCTCAAGATGCCTTGGTGGTGCAGCTTGCTTTTTTTTTTTTTTTTTTTGGCATGACGTCGCACATGCACAAGCCTCCTTCACTGCTGACAACGACATCGCTGCCAAGACAAAATACGATCGCCGCTTTCCCATCTTGGGCAGCAACTAAGAGCGCCTCTCAACCCCTCAGGGGGGCCCTCGGACTCCTGAATGAAGGGTATCATCTCCACATGGGGCAATGCTCTAGAACCGACCTGTTTGAAACATCAATAGAGGTGAGCTTTTGGACAATACGATGGAAGCCTGCAATTGTTGACTGGGTTGAATAGGAAGAGTCCCTATTGTGTGTCCAGGCCTTGCAAGGCGGTTGTTGGCGTCTAAGAGACTCTAGGGTCTAGTTATGATGAAGGCGCCTATTAGCCGCGAATAGGAACAGACACTGCAAATGGAGAACTTGAATAAAATTGGCAAGCCCAAACCACAGCCGAATGGAACTCTTCAACGCCGGGGTTTCACGAGAAAGCTCCCCGACGGTCAGGAGTACTTTGGTGGATTCTCTGTCCACTTCGTTTGGGGCAATGGGCTGTGGATTGCCGCTCAAAGACGCGCGCTGATGAACCCTTCCACTCTTTCCTGACCGCCGACGGTGAAAAAGGCACGCGAGCCAATTGCAGCGCCGGGTGCACAGAAACTGGCCGAGCTTCCAAACACACTCCCCTTTCTGGATGCTGACTGATGATAGATCTTCTGTCTCTCGCTCCTTCTTCCTTGACGATTGCCCAGATTTACCAACAGCACAGACCCCCAACCACCCCAACCATTCACTGCCCATTCCCTGCCCAAGGGTTGATTGCGCTGCTCCATCATCCATCAGACGAGGTCCCAATAAACCAATCTGCCAAGCAGTCGGTGGCTGTAGCGATCGCAACCTGAACAAGCCTGCTTTTTGATAACGACATCAACCTCATCTGCTCATCAATCTACCAACCGGTCGATCCCCAGCCTACTATTATCAAATTCCGCGCTCTTTCTCTTACCGTGATCCTCTTCTGCCGCGACTATCGTTGTTTTCCTGCGAAGACCGACCTTCAGACTTTTCGACTTGGTTCTGCAATTCCCGCCGTTGACCGGAGCAAAGCCCCGTCGTCATCACTCTCGCCAACTCTGGACCCCTAGACCTCAAAAGTCCCCTAAACCACAACCTCCACCACCAACACCACCACTCCAGATAAACTTGGGACAACACTCTCTGAAAGGGCCGGCCTCTTCTCCTTAACCGAAGTTTGACGAGAAAGAAGGTGCAACTGCGCACCTAAGGCCATCGTCACTATCCTCCAAATTCTTGGGATCCGAAACAACACCCGTACAGAACAATGGTCCTAAAATCACTACTGAACCTCCGAAAGAGGAACAGCTCGGACGACGACACAAAGGAACGATACAAATCCCAGCCATCAACACGACCAGCAAGCTACGAAAGGACACTTCAAGAAGAGGAAGGGAGTCCCAGTGATGAAGCGATCAAGCGAGCAACGAGGCTACGGCGATTCTTCGCCTATAGCGCATCCTTTGGGTACCTGGTGTCTTGGGTGTTCCTGATACTGGTATGTTAACTCGAGATCACCATCCATTCATGTTACATGTAGCTGACCAGTAGTACAGATTCTCGTTGGCAACACATCCGACAAGGCCGTGCTTCGCAATGTTTACTTCTACAAGCTCGACCTGGCCGACATCATTCCAGCATCGGTACCAAATGCGCAGTTGATCAACAGTATCGCTCAAAGTATAGGACTGCATGACTTTTACCAAGTTGGTCTGTGGAACTTTTGCGAGGGATATCTATCTGAGTTAGTCAACCTTTTCCCCTCCCCTCCTATCCACGGACTTGTCATGCTAACACATCACAGAGGAATCACCTACTGCTCCAAGCCCGAAACGCTCTACTGGTTCAACCCGGTCGAGGTCATTATGAGCGAGCTTCTCTCCGGCGCCACCGTCGCGATCCCCACCGCCATCATCACCATCCTCTCGATCCTGCGCATCACCTCGCAGATCATGTTCGGCGTCTTCCTGGCCGCCTGCGTGCTCAACTTTGTCCTCATCTTTGTCTCGCCCATCCTGCCCGTCAAGTCGCGGTGGTGGTCCCTGCCGCTCTCCATCTTCTCGTTCGCCTCCATGATTCTGGTCCTGGCCGGCTCGATCATCGGCACTGTCATCAGCTTCGCCTTCAAGTACGCGGCCGAAGCGCAGTCGGACCTTAACATCCACGCCGACGTCGGCACGCACATGTTCATCTTCATGTGGATCGCCACGGGCTTCACCATGTGGAGCTTCGCGGTGCACAGCGGCATGGGATGCTGCTGTGCGAGCAAGCGGGATCTGAAGAGCGGGAGGAGGCTGATCAAGCCCGATGGGAGAATCATCCACGCTGGTTAGAGCTCGGAGTGGATGAGTTCACCCGCAGGGTCGGTTGTGAAGGGGAAGGGAATGGATGGGTGGAGTTTTTTGATTTTGACTTTTTACTTGCATGGCGTTGGAGGAAGGTTTGAAAGGTCTGCTTTTTACATGGACGGCATCGTTTCTCAACACCGATTCGTCGATCGGTTGGGATACAACAGGTCAGGCCATGATGGCATTTGCATGCACAGGAGTTCTTGGATATCCCTTTATAAACTTGCCCTTCAAGGGAAGAGGGGACACGACATACAGTTACAATATAGACTGACTGGGAATGGTACCTACGCAACATACATACAACACGAACCTGTATGACACCGCGTGAAGCCACTCAAAGAAAGCGTTTTAGTCAATAGACTTATCAAGTATCACATTACTACACTTTCACATTTCTCTCTCATGGAGAAAAAAAAAAGTAAATAATCCCGTTCCCGTTCTCACTCGCTGCTCGCTCTTCCATTTCGCTTCTTCGCGTATTATACGCCAAGAACTCACCGTCATGGAGACCTCAACCAGCAGAAAGGAAATGAACACCAAATTTAAGCGACCGGGCTCACCAGGTTACCGAGAGACAAGCGGAAATAAGAACTTTCGCGTGCGGCGGTATGACGATGGCCCAAGAATGGGCCGACCGTGCCGTTGTCGGATGTTGGGGGTTCCGAATTCCACAGACAGACGGTACAATCGAGTCACCACTCTCTCTCGGCCCCGACGGACGGACGGCTCGACAGTCGCGAGCTCGTACATTTCACAGTTAATTTGCAATGTCCGGAGCTGCCATCAAACGATGTCCTGAGTGCCAAGTTAGAAGCGTCTAATCTCTGATTCTTTACCCTTCTATTCTCGAAAAGCACTATGCATAGTAAATGACTGAGTGAATCGAACTTTATTTTGAACAGAGGATATTTTTGATTGACTTTATCTATGTCCAATCCTTCAATCTCTATATCCTTCAACTTCTCCTCGATTTCTCTTCACTTCTCTCTTCACTTCTCTCTTCATCTTCTCTCTCCCTCATTTCTTTCTCAAGTGCCTTTGATAGAGCTTGGAAGGATCGGCCTTGTCTAATGTTACTGCTCTCACGGAAGGTGGAACCAGTAAAGAACAACATCATTTGGTATTCTGGTGATAAAGGCCAACACTCCATACCTGATTGCATTCTCTGCACGCGTTAGCACGTAGGTATGTATTTGCGTAGGTTCATGATTAAATGAAGAGGTATGGGGAATATGAACGTGTGAGGGATGACGTTGAGAACTGTGATAGATATCGGCAAAGCATCACTCAGAATGTCAGAGGAAGCACGAGAGAAGGCACAAAAGAGCAAGTTGTAATCATCAATAACCAAGGCATAGATTTCAAGAAGCGTATCTATCCTACTCCGGCCTCTGCAGCAATTTATGCTGTTTCAAGAATTATCTGCCAGTTTTCTTCCTCCACGATTCCCAATCCCAATTCCTCCCTTTTTTTGTGAGTTTTCATGATCTTCATAAGTCATACAAAAAGTTGAGTAGCTAGTCTAGAACTTTCCAAAAACCATCCAGTTCAAGCGCCACAGGATTGACAGAAACAAGTAGGTAGGCCAAGTTCCTCCAAGTAACCAGGAGAAGTGCCATCATTGACAGGTGAAATATTATATCCCGAAGCTGGACTTGACCACCAACCAGTGGGGCCAAGTACTCCGAGGCTTGATAAAAAAAAGTTTGGGTGTTGAGTAATACACGCAAAATACATCTCAAGAAAAAGTTTTCTTTTTCGACTTCACAGGAACACATGCTCGTAAAGAACAAGTGGAGTGAGGGGCCGCAGCATTAACCACAATAGTGGGAAAGCAGATGGGCAGAAGAAAAAGTGTCGAGTAAAGCGACAAGTAAAAGATGTAATGATGAATGAGGTCTGTACCTCGACGCGAACCCGAGGGACCAGCCGGTTGGGCTTGCGCGCAAGGGGACAGAAACCTTGACTTCAACATACTTCAGTCACTTGGGAGAGCTGAGTCGCCTGACACTTTTTCTCGCTGCAGTCGCTATTCAACAACTGAAAGTGAGCGTGATCGGACCGTATTAATCTCTCATCGAATTCCGAGCGACGAGATGGCGAACTAGGCGCAAACATCTGAAAGCTGGAATCGAGACTGGGACGTCGATATGTCTTCTTGGTTGACCGGATTGGGAGTATGGGACGGTGGTGGCAAATTAATGGCACTAATAAGGCCGGGCTGCACACAACACACAAAACGTTCCTACTTGAGTTCCCTTCCAAAAGTCGGAGGATGGAGTCTTCTTCAAATTTCCTCACCCGAGGCAGGGGTGAAGCCACTTAAGCACGGACGACGATGCCGTTGCGGCGAGAGCTGCGCTCAACGTAGTTCTCCTCATCCTCGGAGGAGCAGGAGTCCTCGTAGCCGCAGCGGGAGCCACCGCAGTCGAGACGGACGCGCTCGCCCTTGCGGGTGATGCCGTAGCGCTCGCAGATGCAGCTGGAGCAGTCCGAAGCGGGAGTGGAGTAGCCGGAGAGGGAAGAGCTGGGGCTGGAGCTGTCGGAGCGGTAGCTGACGGAGGAACCGGTGGAGGAGACGGGGGAGGAGCGCATGTCGAAGTCGGTGATGACGTCCTCATCGTACTCGTCGTAGATGCCAGTGGTGGCAAAGCGGCTGGAGAGCTCGTCGATGTTGTAGTCGGCATCGAGGATGTGGCGGGTGGCGTGGGGAGACATGGGCTTGGGAGCCTTGATCTGGGAGACGGAGAGAGGGCGACCCTTGGGGATGTCGAGGGAGAGGGACTCGCGCTTGGAGGACTTGACGGAGTCGCGGGAGTGGCGGGAGGAGCTCTTGGAGGAGGAGGAAGACTTGGGAACGTCGAGGATGTTCAGGGAGCGGCCGGTGGTGGGCTCAACGGTGAACTCCTCGGAGGGGTTGTGGGAGACGTGGTAGCCATCGATGATGTAGTAGTACCAGTAGCGCTGGCCGGGCTGGACAAGAGCGGGCTGGAAGCGGAAGGTGCCCTTCCACGAGCCGGACTTGGAGGAGGTCTTGTCCTTGGAAAGGGGGAGCTGGCCGGCGTAGTTGTCCCAGGAACCAAGAAGATGGACGGTCTTGACGCCAGAAGAAACACGGAGAGAGAACGAAAGCTGAATGGCGGACATGTTGACTGATTAAGGGGTAATGCTGAAAATAAAACTAAAAACGAATCTTGAGAAGAATGTAAATTGGCGCGTAAGACGGCGAGTCGAGCAAGCAAAAACCAGTTAGTGCTTTGGGGGGTATGTGAGTGTGAATTTGGGGGATAGCGAGACCAGCAAGCTACCGTGATTTGAGTTTTTGGTGTATTAGTGAAAGTGAATTAATCGATAGAGCACAGCTCTACGATGGGAAAGGGGAAAGAAAGGGGGGAGGGGGAAAAAACACAACTGGCTTTTGGAAGTTTGAGAACTTGCTGAAGAAAAAAAAAGAAGAAAGAGAAATGGAAAGAGTGGGAGGAAACTGAGCCTTATATCAACATATCATCAAGAGGGGTAAGACGGGTGGTTACCTAAGAATAGGCCCTGGTCCACAACGCCCGGCATGCATCAACAAGAGACCATGGCCGCCTTGTTGGTGACCATGGCTGGTCGGTGATAGAGTGACGGCAGAGAGGGGTTGCTATGATCGAAGCCAGTCGGCTCTGTCGGTGCAATAGCACAAGTGATGGCGCAAGTACCACGCATCTGGCCGTCTCCCACGCGAGGCCAATAACGAGGCCGGGGCCAGGGAGATGCTTCCAGGCGATGTGGGCATCAATCGATATCACGAAGCTGTGAGGTAAGGGTGGTCGAGGGTGTGTCCATGGCGATGGTGCCTGTCACGTTCAAGGTCGTTGAGCTGGGTCCACCAATGCTACTGACCAATGCGACTGCATGATGGGCGGTTAAGCAGGTGAGCACCCAGAATGGATGGCAGAACCGGAGAATTATTGCGTTGACGGTCCTTGACGGTCCTGCAAGGCGTGTTGACGATTGCACTTCCAAAGAAGAAGTTGAAAAGAAGAAGATGCAGTTCTCGATGCAGCCAACCAGGCACCAGATGGTCAAGGCCCCGCACATTCCATCAGGTGTGTGTTAGCGCTTACTAAGCATGTACATGTGAGGCAGGCGTACCCTGTACTCTGTGCCCTTTATATGTAGCCAGTGCATTATGCACTTTATACAATACCTTAAATTCTATAGAATACATTATATATCTGCACGCACTTCTTACTTTTACTCTACCTTACTTATGCCTGTAGCATTAATAATGGTGCCCATATAATAATCAAATATACTTTATTATTCCTTATCGTTTTAATAGTTTTGGTAGTTTGTTTACTTTATTAAGTCGGACCTGCGTGAAATGCGTCCCTAGTAATTTACTTTAGCGCTATCAACGCTATAATTAACTTAATTTAAGTATTATAATTAATATTATCGATTCTTTTAATGGTTTATTTTAAGTATTACTAGAATTAATACTATTAATTTCCTCGTTTCCTACTTTAGGATTCAAAATCGTTCATCGATTTCCTCGTTCCCTATTTTAGGAATTATCCTCTTAATTATCGCGTTGTTTATTTTAGTACTAATTAATTAATTCTATATTGAACGCTGCGTTAATAGCCGCGCCCGATTCTAAACGCTTTAAATCCGATTACCTTCGAGTCCGCGTTTATTTTAACCCTGTAAATCGATATTATTAATTTCCTTGAATCTCATAAATTGATGCTATTAATTTTTATAGATTAAATCAAAGAAATTATTCGTTAATTATAAAAATCCTACCGAACCGGTTGTTTAATTACTTAAATTATATAAAACGAATATTTGGAAATTATTAAACGGATTTCCCTAAACCCCAACGTTTACTTTAGGTATTACAAAAGTATTTATTCTATTAAATAAATTAATTTCCGTCGTACATTTAATAGTACCGTTAAAATTTAGAAAAATCGCTACAATTTTATCGAACGCAATTAATAATCCGATTAGACTACTAAAGATTAGTAGGACGGATAGTTAGCGAATAACCTTTAGTAAATCGAATTTACATTTACCGAATTAATTTTTAACTAATATAGATAGCTTCTTATACTTTTAGTATTAACCTAAGGTTAACTTCCTATTTTTAGAGCCTAAAGATAATTTTTTATTCCCTTACCTACTTCTAATTTAGGTGTAGTTTTTAGCGTATCGCAAATTTTTACCCGATTTTTTTTTGGTACTTACTTCGTTAATATAAATTCTTGCCTCCTTAATATAGGTTCTTACCCCCTCCTAAAACTAATTTTTCTAGAAGGTTTAACGCTAGTATTATTAATATATTAGACGCTAGTCCTTTATTTGCTTTATTTAATTTAAGTAATTTAAACTTTAAATTTTTGTTTCATTTAATTATATTTTATTTTAACGAATCTATTTTAGAATTAACTATTATTAATATAAATATTAGACCTAGCCTTAGAACATATTTTTAAGAACCTTAAACTTCTAGTTTTTTTACCCTACTACTTCGGGTGTTTATTTTTACTAGGTTTAACCCCCTTTTACTAACTCCTATTCGTTGTCCTACTTTTAAACCTATTTATTTTAATATTCTATCGTTTTTTACTTTCTAATAACGATTAGTATTATTTTTGTCGATTGTTTCTAAAGAGTTTAACCCTTTAAGAAGTATTTTTAAGTTAATTAATAACGAAAATTTATTAAACAGATTAACCGTAATTAATATAATTAACGATTTTATTACTCTAAAATTTGAATTCAGTAAAGTTAATCCTGAGCTTTAACGTTAATAAATTCCCTAATATCAATAAATTCGTTTAGGAGCTATACCCTTAATAGCGGACGAAATCGCTTAATTAATTATTTAAACTATAATTTAGATTCTAGCCGCCGCTCCCCGTCCCGGACTATTATTAAATTTAAAAATAAAAGAAATTGGTTATTTTAATTTAAATTTAAAAGAGAAAGATAATAATAGTAATAGTATAGTATAATAAAATAAAACAATAATATTCGTTAATGTTTATATTTTTATAAAACGTTTGAAATATTTAGCTATTATAAATTCTATTGAAACCGTCCGCGAAATTTAGATTCCCTATTTCCAAGGATTAGCCTTAATTTAGTATTTTATAGAATTAACTGATTTAGAACAGGCTAATTTAATTATTAAAAATATCGAACTTATTTTATTAACCTTTATTGAACGTTTTAAGCGGATAAATAATAAAATTTTATATAATTTTAACGCTAGGAAGTTAACCCTTTTTAATATTTATACCGGCCGAAATATTCGTTCTTTTGTTTAATAAATTATTAAAAACGCTAAAACTTTAAATTTACTTATCTTATTTCAATTTATATTTATTTTCGAAACGATAGACGGTTATATCTAATCTATTGTTAATAAACCTTCCGATTCAACTACCTTTAATACTTTTCTTAAATACCTCGATAAAAAATAGAATATTTTAATAATTAAGGTTAGGGAATTTTGGAGTCCTTCGCTGGTAACTGAATTATCTTCTTTTAATAATAGATTAATTTTAACGGCCGTTGTAATTAATTTCGGTAAATATTATTATTTACATCCTAATCCTCTTCTTTATTAATTTAATTAAAATTAGTATATTAATCGCCCTAATTAATATAATAATAATAATATTAATTACCGTTAGAATAATAGGTCTAATTCTTCTAATAGGAACGGGTATAATAATAGGTATAATAATAATAATTTCGGTACTAACTACGGAAATAGTAAATATGATAATAATTATAATAATAATAGCCGGGGAAATTAGTTTAATTCTAATTAAATTTAGGAGCAAGCGTTTAAATCCTTAAAATATTAAAATTAAAATTAGTATTAGAATAATAAATCCGGCGGAGGTTATAATAATAATAGATCTAATAATAGCTTTAATAATAGACTATAATAATAGAGAACTTGTTTTACCAAAGTATAAGATAACAAATATATTGAACCTTAGGATAACAATTACGTTTATAATAATAATAATCCTAATAATATTAATTAAATAATTTTCGAATAAGTTTTCGGCCGCGATTAGGATTAATTTAATAACGATTCCTAGGATTAGGATTAACCCGATAAAATTATCTAGATAAGCGTTTAAGTATTTAAGGTTTATAAGTATGTTTATTACTATTACGAGCGGTCTTTCCCTATTTTTAATAAACTTTGGAAATATTTGGAGAAAGATTATCGAATCGAGAAACATTTTAGAAGATAAACTATATTAATTACTATAGCCGAACTTCCTATTCTTTCCTTTTTTATTATACTCCTAACTCTTAATTCCGACGTTATTAACGTAATTGCACCTAATTTATTTATACCGGAGACCGAAATTTCTAATTCTATTATTGATTTTACTACTTTTAATTCTTTCAATATTAATTCTATTATTTTTGATTTTATTTATTATTTTATTCCTAATTTCTTTGTTATTAATATAATTATTTTTAATTCTCTTACTATCGATTTTATTATTCCCAATTCTTATATTTAAAACGCTATCGTACGTAATGCTCTTATTTTTGAATCCGCTTCGCTTAAATCTATTTCGCTTAAATTAATTAATTTAAATATAATTTTTAGTAATTTATTTATTCTTAAAATTAACCTTCTGGAATTAAACAATAAATAGGGTTTTATTATTATAATTAAAGAAATTCCTATAGTAAAAGCTTTATTTAATTAACTAAAGATTTCCGATTTAATTAACCCTGATTTAAGAATATTTAAACCGACCCCCAAGACGGTTTATTACCAATTTATAATTAAAGACGAAATTAAACCTATTATAACTAGATTATTATTAACGTAGTTATCGATACCTAACCCCCCTTTACTTTTCTAATAACTTTTAAAAATAATATATTTTAAAATCGACCCTAAATTAAATTTAGGTATTAAATAATAATTCCGGGCATTTATTTACTTTAAGGCTTATATTATAATTAATTTAGCTACCTAATACGAAGAGGATATTTATTTTGACTTTAAATATATTACATCTTTAACCAATAAGTCCTAAATCTAAAAATATTATACTAAAGTATATATTCGTCGAAGCTTAACGGCGTTACTCATTTGAAATATAGGTAATAATTAATATATATCGGACGAATACGTAATCCTAAATATACTTTTTAAAGGAGTTAATTATTTAAATTAGTTTATAGTAGTTTTTTTCCGTTTCGAAATTACTTTGGTCTAAGGATTAGAAGCCTATTTATTGTTTAGAATGAATATTTTAGCCCCGGAGAAATTCGTATTAGATTTGGCTAAATTATTAATAATAATTGGATTTTATAGTAATATAATTATTCTTATTTCAACGGAAATTAGGGGTAGAAAATATAATGTTCGTATTATTATTACTTAATATATTGTAATTTAACCGAAGTCGATAATTGAA